TTACACCCATCTTCTGGTTCTCGCTGGTGATACCAGCACCCTCGTAGACCAAGTTGATGTAGTTGGAGAAGAGCGCGTTGCCGGAGTACTGGGAGATGATACCGAGAGAGATGAGAATAGCCAACCTCCATCGGTTACCCTTGGTCTTGACAAAGTCGACGTAGCTGGAGTTCTTGTTGGCATCGGCCTCCAGACGAATGACCTCCCTCATCTCGACGTATTCGAACTGAACCGTGGCGTTGTTACGGTCACCTCCGGCATGGTAGTAGGCGAGAGTATCCAGGGCCTCTTCGTAGCGCTCCTTGGAGATCAACCAACGTGGGCCTGGAAAGCAATGTCAGCGTATATTCGTTATGCAGTGTAAAGTTTGACTTACTCTCAGGAACCCACCAAAGGAAGCAGAGTTGGAGGAACGAAGGCAGAGCCTGAAGAAGAGTGATGGACCTCCAAGACCAGTGGTTGTCCGCCTGAGATGTACCCCATGCGATCCATGCGACGAAAAGAGCACCCAAGTTCCAGAGACAGTTGTATACGGCAGTGAAGATACCACGGTGCTGAGGATGGCAGATCTCGGTAAGAAGAATAGGCGAACACATCTGGGCGAAGGAGTTACCGAAACCAAGAATGAAACGGCCACCCATGTAGATCTGCCAGTTCGTAGAGAAGGTTGAGACAAGGGCACCAGCAATCATGATGGAGCAGCCGACGGCGATTGGAATCTTACGTCCGGTCCACTGGGTCAGGAAGGGAACGAGGAAGAAGCTGACGATCGAACCGATGTTGTACATGTTGTTCATGAGACCCAGGCGGTTACCGGTAGGCTCATCAAAGTAGTCCTGCCATCTGCTCATCTGCTGCGAAGAGTTCATCATCATGCTGAAGATGGTCAGCAAATCCCGCTGCATAACTGGAAACTCCACTCACCCGTCATAACCAGTAGTGGCGGAGGCAATGCAAAGGACCGAAGAGTGCCAGAACAGCTTTCGCATGTTTGGGTCCTTGTACCAAATGACCTTCTCGAACTCAGGCACATCCTCGCGGACGGCACTGTTGCCCTTGGCGGCTCCGACGTGCATACCGACCATCTTGAATAAAGAACGATGGAACTGTTAAGTGAAAGATTGACCGAAGTTCAGGACAAGTAGACTGTGCTACTGATGGGCGAAGTCCCTTGGGTTGAGAAAGACCCTCGTCCGGCGTCGAGTACTTATATTCGATCCACCTCCACTGCAAGCGACCCCACACCCCGGATGGGAGATACTCCCATGCTTGTTCCACCGCGGGTTGACGGACATGGGTACCGCACTTTGCAGGAAGACTGCCTGACAGCAACGGTGGGAAGGGCCAGTAAGATGATACCAAGAAATCTCCACCGAGCGATCTGTTGGCACCAGGCCCGTAGCGCCGTGGGACTAGACTTACAAGAACAGAGAAGTCCCGTCTTGTCATATCTAGGCATTGGCCGCCAACGGAGGTATCCAACGTCCGATGCAAATTGCTGTCTCCCCATGGGGTGTTCGGCTGCCTTCCAGAAGTCTATAACCTGGTGGCGCTAGAACGTGTGACCACATTTGACAATAGACCCAGACACGGGTTGCTGTCATTCATTGGCCCTCGAAAGCGCCTTGATATTAACTTCGTGATAGCCAGATAGGACAACAGCATGTTGCGTTTTGGAGATGCGACATGTGCAGAAGCGCCTGCTGGCGAGGTCTGGTGGTTCTATGCCTCGGTCTGCTTCAACTCATCAGATGATAGATCCCTTCATCATGAGATGTCGAAGCCGATCTGCCGAGTGATTTTCGCCATCAAGCCATGCGTTCCCCGATTCTGTTACTATTCCGCTGTGCCCAGCGTTGAGGCTTGAGACGCCCCCGGGCTTGATTGTAAGACGCCTCGATAGCTCTGGATTCCCATCTGAACAGGCGACTCGTCCCGCGGATAATTTTGCTTAGCATCCGGTATGCCTCTTGGTGTTCTGCACTCAAGGCTTGGAATAGCCAACCAAGAGTCCGCTCACGGTAGGTCAAGCTTACCACGCGATGCCAGGACCAGCCAAGATGGATAAATGGGCCTGCGCGCCGGATCTGGAGCTCGGTGACTGGACTTTACAAAACAATTGTACTGACGAAGTCGTTCCATGATTTTTCGCATTGGCAGACGTCGATAAGGCTCAGACGGCTTCGACGTACGCATGCGGATAGGGTGTGCAAATGGTTAGGGGGGAAGCCGCGCTGTGCATACGCGCAAGCGACGAGGCGGGACGGTGTCCAGGTGCACATCGGAGCTATGTTGCAGGCCACGTGCAGCCTTGGCGGCATGCACCGGCGGCAGCCATGGGAGTAATCAATTGCGAGGTCGGTGCTCGTACTGATGCGACACTTTCAATTTCCTGGGAGGCATATGTGTGTAAGGTGTTCCACGCGCCGAGCTGTTGGAGTCGACAGTAGATTGTTCATGCGCAAGCGAATAGGCTAGTGGGGCCCCTCTTTCCATCGCAGAACGCCCCACCCCGTTCCTCTACTCGCGTTGTACACTCATGTCGTGATTGATGGCGCTTAGAGACATGATACCAAGCCTTGCCCTGACAAAGACGGGGCCCCGGTCAGCCGGGACTGCGCAGCTCACTCGATAGCGGATCACACATTTAGCCGGCCACATCTGGTGGTGGCGTTGTGGTGGAATATTGCTATACGCCAAGCATGCTATTCTTCCTGGAGCGGAGAGCGGAAAGGCGGCACGGCGATGGATGAGACCTCTGTGTGAACATGATTTCAACACTACTCGCAGCCTTCGTCCCCAAAGTGCGATGTGGCACGGTGCGAAGACTGACCCAGCAGCAACGACGGGCCGGACTCTGAGCCTGTGCTCTTCAGCGCACCTCTGAGTTACCTAACTCACAAGACGGCACAACACAGTCGCCGCCTGCAATGAATGCGCGGTTTGATGGGAAGACTTGTCGATAAGATGGCGGGCCACTATCCTGAGCACAACACCGACGCAAGGCCTTACTTCGTCTCCGGCAACGGTTTCTCCGGCTGAACGAAAGAGCGACTTTTCTACCATGTTTCAGCATCCTAAAATACGGCGGTTTCGAGGAACAGTATCCCAAGGAGTTGTCAAACTCTGTCGAATACGAGAATCAGCCAAACATATATTCAAGCGGAAGATCAATGAGTGTGACAACTTCACAGCGGCCTTCTTGTCGTCACAAACACACATACTAAGTGGATAGTGGCTATAAGAAGACATGGTGATGGGGATATGTCCTGTGCATGGCCCACAGCACCCGGTGAGCCAGACCGAACGATATTTGAAGTTCCAAAGAATGCATAGCCAGAAGGTAAGAGACTTGACTACCAAGATCTAGGCTTGTCAACTACAAAGGGCTAATCCAGGCACACTGTCCGTGAGAACTACATACCGCACGAGACCTTCCGTAATACTCTCTTGTCCACTCCAGTCATTCCATGCACTTCTGGTCCCGCTCGATATCCTGTCTGTGTACTTCATACACTCCAGCCAAAAGTGTTGTTTTCACGAAGTCTGGTCGGCTGACGAGTGTAGGTAAGCCTTACGATCTGCTTCGGGACTTTGCCTGCGAACTTCTGCTCTATGATTCTCCCCAAGCCCTCGGCCGCTTCCACCGCCATTCGACAGTAACAACCTGAGTGCTCGATGATGACTGCGTTGAGCGCGTCGCAGTCCAATATCCGAGCAAGCTTGTATTTGCTGAACAGCTCCTCACACTCGGCAGGGTAACGGGTGAAATCGTCTTCGTAGTAGTCGTAGCCATCCTCTATTTCCAGCCTGATCAGATCGCGGCAATGGAAGTTGAGCTTGATGGTACGTAGACCCTTGCATTCGAAAGCAAGTTTTAGATCAGCGTTCACACCGAACTCTTCCTTGAAGCGGCTGAAGAACCTGAAGTCCAAGTGACGAACGAGGTCAAAGCGGCTCGGCTCTGCGGCCAGGAACGCGCGTGCAAATTGGTTGTCGGCGTATGAGCAAATCATCATCTGCGAATTCCCGATGACGGTGGCGACCGTCTCGTCGAAGGTTCGTCGCGATGTATAGCAAAACTGGGGAAGAAATCCGGGTCGAGCGGGGTTATTGCCCCTCCTGACTGCCTTGCGCACTTCCATCACGTTCGTATCGACATCGAGGGCAAGTTTCCAGATCTCGAGGCGGAGTTCAGTAGGCAATTCAAGGAATCCGTGAAACTTCGGCTTGATGGCAGGGGTTTCGTAGACGTCTGCAACTGCGTCGCTCTCCGGAATCCACGGCTCGCCTTTGATGTATCTGGGCACTGTATTTTGTAAGCATAGCTCGTGATTCCTTGCATCCCGCAACGACCTACTCTTCTTCGACCCGGGCAGCACGCCATGCTTCACTACCTCAGCCCAAGTCTGAAGATTCGAGTGCGAAGTACTGGAAGACGGGGTTGAAGTGATGGTTGAGCCGTGAATATCGGGAAATGTCGCCGTGTCTAGTTGGAATGTCGCTGCATCATACGCGACGCTCATGCCAAATCGACTGCCGCCTACTGAGAAGGGAATGAGGACGACGGGCATGTTTGCGGTTTTCTGTGCTGTCAGGAAAGGTCTTCGTATCAGAGGTTTGACCTACAGTGCAAAGAGAAATGAATGTACGAGCCGGAATGTGTAGAAATTGTGAGACTAGGTCTATCGGTGTCTGTTCGTATACGCAAAATGAAGGCTCTACGTGTACGGGAGGTAGTGAGTGGTAGATGAAGCAGGGGATTAAGACTCCTGCCTCGCCCTTGTAGGAAAGTGTGCCCAGAACAATTTGCGATATTCCCCTTGGGAAAGCGGCTTTGTGCGTTCGAATTGTGTGAAATGCGGCAGGTGTGGTTGGCTCGCCGTCTGTGGACCATCAGTACCACGGAATGGAGGTGATGGAACCAATCTGCATCTCAGCCTTTCACATATTCGCATCTTGATGTGACCTCTCCTTTTGCGCCTACGCAAGCAGGCAATTCAGAATTTATGGGCGTGCTCTTGCACCACCTTTCCATCTTCGATGACACAGATGTCGACGCCAGCAGTCACACGCAAGGTCTCCATATCGAACAAGTACTCTTCATCCTTCTTTACTACCTCCAAGTAAAAAGGATCTTCGTAAGCCTTCTCGAAATCTTCGTACTTCCGCACCCAGAAGTCCGCCATGCCGTCGTACGAAAGAGTAGGCATGCTTAGGCGTGCTTTGTGTCTTGATGTAGTGTGATACTTCGAATGATCAGTACTCGTAGATGAATTGCGCAGCATCAAGATAATAAGGGGCTGCACAAGTAGGGAGAGCTGATGGGGAAGCTCACTTGGACGTATTTGACGATACCGTGACGCTGCAGCCATGATGTGATGAGAGGGCCATGTTTGTTCGCCCAGTGGTCATTGAACTCATCTTCAGAAAGCTTAGCATTGCGGTTCGCAAAAACAGTGATGCGTATCAATTCTTCGGTCGACATGATTGCTGTTGCTTGAGTTGTCGCGAATGTGGCTGGCGTCCACGGGTGGCTGGGACGAGGATGCCGGGTCAATGACGCATCACTGCCTGCAGGAACCCTGATCGGCATCTATCCTAAGTTGCCGCATGCACGATTTCAATGTGCTCTTTCATGACTGATTACCCCGGACCATCGATGCGATGCTCATTGTTGTGCCTGTCGCTGCGGACCACGTCGCCAGTTTACTTTTTGCTCATTACGCCCCGCCTTGACCCTGTAGAACGATAAGGATGGTGCTCCACCCCTCCACCTCTCCACTCGACTCTGCGATCAATCACCAATCGCTGGCACAACCTTAGCTTCCAGACAACACATGAACAAAAGGGCCTTTTCACATACGGGTACCGGTAGCGCCCGTCATGGGGCGTTCGGTTACCCGTAGCCCCTCATTTAAAGGAACGGCGATGTTCGGTCGAGGCCGCGGAAGCTATTATCCGACAGCCGCATGACAGAGTAGCGACATTAACTACCAGAGCACTTCAGCTTCTGACAAACCTTGAAAAAGACTTATCGCTTGCTGGAATACAATACGATCGTTAAGTGTGGAGCCAACATGACATCCATCGACCAGCCGCTGAACGGCAAGATACTCCTCATTACAGGAGGTGCATCTGGTACTTAGAACACTATCGATGTCGGAAAGGTGGATGTCTAACATGAACAGGAATCGGCCTTTGTGTGACAAAGCAAGCACACGATCTCGGCGCACGCATTCTTGTTGCAGACCTCAAAACAACACCCGACTTCGACACCTTTGCTGCCAACAAGTCGAACATTCTCTACGTGCAATCTGACGTGACGCGATGGGCCGACTTTGACAAACTTTTCGACGCGTGCGAAAAGCAATGGAACGACGTTCCCGATGCATACGCTATCTGCGCAGGACTGTTCGACCCACCGTTTTCCAACTTCTGGCAAGACCCTGAAGACCAAGGGTATAAGCAGGTGGAGGTCAACGTGAACCATCCAATCAAGTTGACGAGATTGGCTATCAGGAAGAGTCTAGGGAAGGGAAAAAGGGCTAGTGTTTGTATTATCGTGAGTTATAATACATATCAGGGTCGACTCGAAGGGTCGTCACGTAGTCGATGGCACGTCTAACACCAGAATAGGCGTCAGTAGCCGGCATATCAGGCAACCTAGCAGCTCCGCTCTACTGCGCAACGAAACACGCTGTCGTGGGCTTCGTAAAGTCTCTTGGGCCATCTGAGTCACTCACAGGCGTCAAGATTACCACTCTCTGTCCTGGCGCCGTGGCGACACCGTTGTTCGACGCCGCGAAACTCAAGCAATACTCTGTGACCACGGAGAAGGCATTGACGCCAGACGCATGCGCGACTTCTTTGTTGGATCTGCTACAGAAGAAAGAGTATCCATGTGGCAGTGTACTGGAAATAACTCTTGGCGGGACGAGGCTTATTCCGGAGTGGGGTGTGGAGGCACCGAAAGGCGTGGGCTCAGGACAAGACCTGGATGAGCAGTTCATGACGAATATGCTCCAGCCTATCAACGACAAGTTGAATGCGGAGAAGGCGAAGGCATGAGGACACATATTGTAAGGGGTGCGTGTGTATCATATGTGGTATTGAAATCTCGCTACCAGATCACACTGAACAACGAAAAGTCAAAATAGGTCTGCAGCATACATCAAGATGAAACCATGCAAATTAGATGACCCAACGTCAAGGTAGGCTCCAGGCTGATTAGGGTTTAGCAGTATACTTTCAGTATACTTCCCACAACCCTGACATCCCCGGCTTCCAATAGCCTCAACCCCCTAACAACCCCACATACCCTCCTTGCAGTCCCCCAAATCTCTCTTCTGAACCACCACCTTCTCTGCCTTTGTCTCTTCAAACAGTTTGCCGTGAGTGTGCCTCCATTTGTCGGGGATGACAACTTCGTCATCGGCATCGTTGTCGTTTGCCCGTGCGACAATGAAGTCGCTGGTGGTGATGAGGGGGAGAGTCCCCATGCCGCTTGGGATGTATGGGCGGGGGTTGGGGAACATGGGGAGGCTGAGCCCCAGGGTGATGAAGAGGGAGATGATGATGGTGTTGAATTGCATCTTGTTGGTTGTGGTGGGGAGGTTTTTGGTTGGTGTGTTGTTTGGTTTTGGGTTGGTAGTAGTGGATGGTTTGTGGTGTCCTTGAATTGTTTTGGCTTTGGATGTAAGATGTTTGTGTGATAGTAAGAAAGCTAAGAGGGAAAGCAGAAGCAGGGCGTTATATACTAATGGGCAAATGCGTAAATTCCATGGGAATTCAGTACCATGGTTTAGATTTGGATGGAGTTCCGACTCCACCATGCTCTCCAAACATGGCTCAGTGATTGCTCCAACCATACAAAGCGTTTCTGGTCTGTATCACGCAGGGACTAACCAAAGTCTTGAGGTAGCCGGGTAAACTTCGGCTGGTTACCGGGGTGCACAAACTGATGTTGCCGCGAAGTAGTCGAGCACTTTCCGATATCCAGTCGCTTTTGCAACATTTACAATTTTGTGCTAACCCTACGTGTCTACCCGAAGTTCGCGGGAAACACTCCTTCAGTGCCTGCCTTCGGTGCCTTCCTTTGATCAGCACAGCCCCTGCGCACCCCATCCTACCCTGCATTCTTAGCCCGGCTTTCTCCTCCGCATACTGCTTACGCAGCAGCTGCCAATCTGAATACGTGATATTATATCGCTCAGTTTGCTCACAATGGGTCTTACCCTTTCCAAAGTCAAGCAACGTAACTACTAGAGAGCATCGAGATGTACGTTACCGGCTCTCACGTCTGGATCACGAACACTGTATCTAGAAACTGACACCATCTGAGGGATGCGCTGCAGAATATATAGGTACCAGTCTGACATGATTGCGATGTTCTCAGTCTTGTATGCGGCAAGTACAGCATGTTTTATTACTATATCGGTCGTAGCAATCGCCATTGTCTAGCACATCGAAGCTTGTCTTTGCAGACTATGTGGCCAAAACGAATAATTGCTCGTTTTCCGCCAGACCCAAGAGAGACGCGCATGTGTTGTGGCATGTGTTTGCGCTCACCTTCACCTCCACCTTCACCTCTGAACAATCTACTTAAACGAGGCGCGAAGCGCGATACTTCCGCTAGCTTACTACTAGTAGACGCATCCTTTTGTCCACAGTCATTACTCCTCTACACCACTCAACAAATCCACGTGCAAATATGGCAAACGCTTCACGCCTTCAGGTCGTAGATGCCGTTCAAAGGCAAGTACCTCAGATCTTCATGCCACACTCATTGGACTAACGATTGTTACAGCTGTCTGACCTCGGGAAAATACTCCGACCTCACGATCAAGTGTCGAGATGACGTCTACAAAGTCCACAAGATAATTGTGTGTACACGCGCCGGCTTCTTTGCTGGAGCTATGAGGTTTGGTGGCCAGGTATGGAGAGCTCCCAAGGCTGTCAACGACATGGATGAATCTGACAATCAGCAGGAAGCTCAACATGATGTGGTCGATCTCTCGAAGGACGAGCCCAAAGTCATCGCATCACTCGTTCAATACCTTTACTCCGGCGAGTACGACAACGACTTCTTCAGCGTCACGGAAATTGAGCCTGGGACACCGCCCAGCGCCTCGGAGATAATCATCACGCGAGGCCTAGGAGTCCACCCTGTCCACGGATACCAGTACACATATGCTTTCCCCCATACTTGCCTGAAGTCATGTTCATCAAGTTCAGGTGCAGTGACTCACAATTGGGTCTTGTGTCCACACCATGTCTGCTCTCTCAACTGCAGCTCGAACTGTAAAGCTTTCATTTGCAAGACATGCTGCAAGGCCCGAGGTCCACCTTCTCAACTCCTCGACCACTCAAAGATGTACGCAATCGCCGATAAGTACGACGTCACTGGCCTCAAAGAGCTGGCCTGCAAAAGCTTCCGGCGTGCTTGCGGTTACTTCTGGAACTATACCCATTTCGCGATTGCAGTCGATCATGTCTTCTCTTCCACTGTATCCGAGGACACCGACTTGAGGAGCATCATCATTCAGACCATTTCTACGCATATGGCTATTGTCAAGAAGCCAGAGATACAGGCGTTGGTCTTGAAGCACGGTGATCTGGCGATCGGTATACTGCTGAGGAAGATGGGCTAGACCAGCTACAGACAAAACAAACCGATGACAGGTATCTTCTAAACTCACTATTGAGAAAGCAGATTTCCAAGTCAAAAGCCACGGTGCAACTTGGTGTTCAGAGAAGCATACCATGGTTACAGTGTGAAAAGTTGGGATAATCGTTGGAACGGGCAAAAGCGTGATGGATAGCTCTTGAAGTAGCTCAAAGTCATAACAAACATGATATCAATCCTCGTCTTCTCAAACGCCTGAACACCAGTACATATAACATTACTGCGTGATAGCCCTTAGCCCTTGCAATGTCAACCCAAACATAACACCCCTCGCAACCCTAGGTTCCTGCAAGCAATCAAACACCTTACCCAACGCCTCTCCACTGGCAGCCTGGCCCATAACACTCGTAAGCGCTTGCGGCATACCATTCTCCACAAGCAGCTTCCTCGCTTTGACCCTCAACTTCTCTTTCTCTTCGTCGCCCATCTCCTTTGGCCATCCTTTGAGTTCTTCTTCGGTTGGCAGACCGTTCTCCCGGATCTTTCTGATGTGATAGGCTAGGCCGGCGTCGGACGCGTTCCCGTCAAGCACGGTGGTCTGAAGGAGTGATGTGATGGAGGAGAGTTGTGGGTTTCCTGGGCGTAAGAGGAAGGACTTCGCGGCGTTGAGGAGTGTGCGCCGGAGTGTCCACGCGGAGGAGAGGGTGTAGAGTTCGTTGATGACGGCGAAGAAGAGCTCAATGAGGACGGTGGTTTCGGGCTCGGATAGTGGCGTGTGGGTGGGTGATGTGCGTGGCTTCAAAGATTTGGCAGGGGACGAGGTTAGTGATGTGGCTGAGGGTCGACGGGGTAGTGAGGGCACGGAGTCTGTTGATGGCCGCGAGGGTTTCTGAGGTGGTGTTGGTTCTGGTTGATTGCGCATGGTGCTGTAGTCGTCGGAGATCTCGCTAGGCATTGGCGGTAAGTTGATTAGCTGATCACCTCCCATCATGGGGCTGAGATCCTCGATCTTCTCGCGCATGCTTGGCGCACGACTGTTGCTTCGTGAGCCATACCTGGAAGACCTCCCCGAACGCTTACCGTCACCGTCAGGATTGTACGATGGCCGACGTTCCATGGGGGCCTCCCGTCCTGGTTGTTGGTCGATGACGGGTGAGTGAGGGTCGCGCACAGAGTCCATCGATGTACGCTTTGTCACTAGAGATAACGTACTGGGCGATCGGATATGCGTGGGTAGTTCGGAAACGGTCGACTCGGCTCTACTTTGTCGTGTTTGAATCGGCGCCGTGTTGGACGATGTACGGCTTAGAGGACTTCCGGATGCGTTCGGGGTGGCGGCGTTGCTGATTGATTCGCGATTCTTCTTTCCTCCTAGTGGTGATGCTACACTGCCTAGCACCCCTGTCACACCGCCGAACAGAGCCTTGCCGCCACCAGCAACCTCTTTAGGCGCCTTTGAAAGTACGCCCATCATCCCTTTGCCAACTGAGTCGAAGGTCTGGCCGGCCCACCCAATCCCTGGAAAGCCACCACCAGGGGTCTTTCCTGATCCCAGTTCCTTATCTAAGAAGCGCTTCATCCCTTCACTTTCGGCAAGGGGTTGGTACTTGACAGCATCGTTGAGATAGCGCTCCAGTTCTCCACGCAAAGACGCCTTGGTGTGACCTTTCCACGGCGGGAGTGTAGCGTGCGCTTCGTTGAAGCCGGAAGTTCCGGTGATAGCTGCTATCCGACGTATGACTTCGTGCAATGTCTCAAACTCGGCATACTTGCGTGCTGTCATCCACCCGGTGTGATGATTTGACTTTGGCTCGATCTGAATCAAATACTCTGCTGTGGGCTTGGCCTTGATCGTACCCTTCTCTCCAGGCATGCTGTCATCAAAGATGGACATTGTGCTGTTGTGCAAGGTCAATGGTGGTGGTCTTTCCGCGGGTGGGTTGTCCATAAGCGCAGTAGGCGGCTGGGGCATTACAAGCTGATCGAAGCTCGTGAAAGCCTTCTTGACCTCCTGAGCTGGTGGGTCCTCAGAACTCCTTGGCGGTGAGGCTGGTGTTGTCTCTGAGAAGGACCGGCCGGAGAGCCCTGAAATGGCTAAGTCTGAGTGCTCAACGTCGCCGTGCGCTTCGCCCTCGGAAGACGAGGGAGTAACTATGCCCTGGGTGGTGCTCTCGGACTGGTCGTCGTTCAGGGTCGATGTAGACGCACTTTGTTTTTGTTGCTCCTTCAGTCGCTTTGCGTCTTCCTCGGCAATCATCTGGCTCAGGAGCTGCGCTTCTCGCATCGCATCGTCCATAGCTTCTTGCGCCTTGCTCATAACACGCTTGTGCTCCCTCTTTTCAGCGGGGGTTGCCGTTCCTGCACCACCTAACTCGCTCTCCGCGTTCTCCTTGACACCTTGTAATTGTTCAGACGAGCCCTCGACGCCTGCGTCAATAGCATTAAGAAGCTCGGGCTCGCCCTCTTCCAGAAGATATACAATCCACCCGTTGATCCACTCTGGCTTGGAGCAGCTCACGACGATCATCTCGAGTATAAGCTTCGCGAGGATTTGATGCAGGAATAACCGCGCTGGCACGCAATTGTCTAGGGTAGGTGATGGTCAGCGTACGCGCATGAATTGTATATCAGACTTGCTTACAGGTCTTTGGTTCCAGATAGTTCTGTAGGATATCCTCAGCAGCCACACTGAACTGCTTCGTCTGGTAATCTGGGTCGAGGATGTTCGCGAGGGTGCTATCCCGCTTCATCTTGAGATATATATCGACCGCTTCGGTCGGCACATCACCGGGGGACGCTTGGATTGCGGCAGCGATCTCCTGCAGCAGTATAATCATGAAGGAGGATGAGCGCGTCACAAAGTCAAGGAAGTTGTCGGCTGGTCGCTTTCGGGAGAGGTGTGCAGATATGGAAAGCACGAAGGCGGTCAGAGTCTGGCGGCACGAGTTCGGGAAAGTGTCTTCGGAAGGCAGTAGGGGTGAGTACCACCACCTGCGTTGTATTAGAACAGTATCTAGGCACTGCGCGGAGGACATACTTGACATAGTCACGAATGACTGCATCCGTCAACTCCGTCAGCGCAGCGGCAGTCTCGGGCTTGAAGTCTGAGTAGTCGAGCGTCTTGCCGGAGTACAGCTGCACATTGAAGTCGTAGCCGTCGTCTCCGGACTTGCCCTTGTCTGGTGTCTTGTCGTTCCGCCAGTCGAGCACGCGCTGGGCGATGTCGACAGCCAGCTCTCGCTTCCGCGCGTCGGCGCTCTTTCCCTGTGTCTCCTTGCTGTCGCCATGGTGCCCCTCCCACGTCGCGTGGAGAACCACGCCGCCTACCACGCCTATGAGCACCAACCCGACGCGGCCGAGAATGAGATATGTGCCTGCGCCGAGGCCTGCGAGACAGGCGCCGAGTGTCTCATTGCTAGCCGTCGCCAAGAAGTGTAAGGTGCGATCCGTGAGGGCCTTGAGGTCGAATGGAGGCGCGCCTGCCTCTGCCTTTGGGGCCTCCGGCGTCACGGCGGTGCTATCGCCGAGCGAGTCATGTTCGTGATCGAGTGCTGAGGGGGGCGGGCTCGGGGGTGGTGCTATGGGGTCGCTCATGGTGGCTGTGTGTAGGCGAGCATTGGGGTCTGCAGTATGTGAGGAAGTCGTGGCCTGCAGTGAAGCATGGTCCGGTGCGACAGACTGGCTATGTGGCGTCCCCGGCCGCTGACACTGGCGTACTGGCCGTTTCACAGCTGCCGCTTGTTGATCGCAGGGCGGCCGCTGAATAGTATCGCCGACCCCGCCGCGCGTTGCATCGCTATTTTCAACTGCCCCGTCATTCTGATCTTCACTCTTCCACGCGTCACATCTCCCGCATCCGCACCAGCCATGTCCAGCGACGCAGCCAACGACCCCGAGATTCTCGCTCATGTCCAGCAGTTCTGGGAGGGCCGCAAGCCGAGCAGTCCCATTTACCAGTTCCTGCTTGACGATATCAAGCTGACCTATGCCTCCAAAGGCGTCGTGCGCGCCCAGCTGCCGCTTACCAAGAACCACGTGAACACGCACGGAAGCATCCATGGCTCCGTCTCCGCCACACTGATAGACTGGGTTGGTGGCATCGCTATCGCAGCTTGGGATAATCGGAGCAAGGCAGGAGTGTCGACAGACATTCACATCTCGTACTTGAGCGGGGCTAAGGATGGCGACACCATTGAAATTGAGGGCAGGGCAGGAAAGGTTGGCGGAACCCTCGCCTTCACCACAGCGACCATATGGAAGCTCGTCGATGGCAAGCCAGGTCCTATTGTAGCCACTGGCTCACACACGAAGTTTATAAAGATATGATCCTTCATATGACACGCCATCTTCTTTGAGATCTCGTCCTGCGCTCCATGGTCGATCGAGCTCACTCGGATCGCGAAGATTGACTGACCCTCTCGCAACTGTTCTGCGCCTAGCCTTACAGCGACGACAGCATGGGTATGTGGGAGGGTCTTACATACTGTAGATGATCCAATATCATGACTATCGAATCTGCTCGACAGAAGGCCTTTGCTATCCCAATATTAAGTTTCGACCTTCCCACGTTCTCTGTTACTTTTCCGAGGAACCCTCAGGAATCGGGGTGTGCTGGAGTTATGTTAATGCTACAAGCTCCTCGAACAAGTTCAAGATTTCAACACCAGATATCGATATCGCAAGAGAGGGACACGCGTCGCGTATATTGGCGCCACACTCACGAGCCACACTCGGCCCGTGCCAGCCAATCACAGCACGCTTAAGCCACACATCCAACGCGCCAAGCCTCGCGGTTTCCCAGGCAAGCCACAGACTATGCCACAAACACCAGCAAGAGGGGCTGCAATCTGCGGAGTGCAGCGACCTAAGGATCATGTGTCTTGAAATCCAGTTCATGGCGTATGTCATATGGTAAATGGGCACTAGCTCTGACGTCGATGCAACCGTAAACAAAGGCATAGGTATGGGAGAATGGACTCCCAATATCTATAAGGACTCCACAGTCCGCGTAGTAAATGCGACGACATACCACTATTCTAACCTACCACTTACTCAAGACCAGCTTAACCTCAAATATCCACTCTCTTTTGATCAGTCACATTACACTGAGGACTGGACGCACTCACAACTGAACATCGACACCTCCAACAAGAAGCTTTCTATCAATCGGCATTGCCGAATCGATCTCGAATCTGTACCTTCACGACCTTCCTCTAATACCCCTACACTCACCAACAAACACCACACCATGGGCTGCGCCCCTTCCCGCCCCCGCCGCTTCGACGGCAGAGGAACATCCTACGTCGACCATCCCCCCAGCAGACACGACATTGGCGAATTGGGAACAAAGTACAATCGACGGAGCGGCAGTGTGGCTGGACCTGGTACAATCGGAACAAGTATGGGACAGAGCGGCAGACACGGTGGCATGAGCACTGGGACTAGCATGGGTCGTTCAAGTCGCACAAGTGGAGGTATGAGTAGCGGCATGGGTATGGGTCGTTCGAGCCGGTCGGGGGGAGGTCTCGGAGGGCTGGTGTCGGGGTTTGGGAGGAGCCGGAGATGTTAGTTAGTCCGGAGTGGCAGACTGTTTTGGCGGGGAAGCAGACGAAGCGGTTGGGAGGGGAGAGCAGGAGGGTTGTGGAGTGATTGGATATTGTACTGGGTGTTTTGGGTGTTTCTGCAGCGCCAATGTTCATCATTTTTATCATTCCTCATCGCCGTAAAGCTACTTAGGTATCTACTAGACCCTATACTGCGTGGACCTGGCCATCCACGGCTACGTTTCGACGCTGTCACCACGCACAATAACATCTACATGGCGGTACCGAATTTGACCCTAGCCCTCTGCTGTACCCCACCCATCGGAGGCCAAGCCTGAACGTCGAACCCATCCTCCTCTAAACTGTCAACGAGATCACGACCAAAGCCCGTCAAGTCCAACATCAGCGTCTGGAAGAACTTCAAGCGCATGAGTTGATTGATATGAGGTTTCAGCAGCTCGAGAACAGCCTGACGCAACATATCGTTCCCATCTACAGTGTTGCGCCACACGAGAACCAGAGAGTCAAGGAAGGAGTTCAGGACCGACGAGACGGGGTCGGCGTCGGCGTGTTTGTGGTCAAACTCAGCGTGTTCATGAGAGAAGTCGGTTGGGTCTCCTCCGGAAGGCAGACCCATACTGAGAACCATTCCGACGATGTTGATGTACTCTCCGATAGCGTGGTCGCACAGCTTGGCGACGTCGTACTTGTTTCCGACAACGTACGCGTGCACGTGCAGGTCCAGAAGGGTGATGTTCTCGTACTCTAGTCGCATGTTGGGGTTGAAGATGTAGATGCCGTCTTGAATGTACTGGATCATGGCTGCGATGGCGTAGGGGAAGTCGTCGCGGACGCGGATGCAGCGTGTTTGACCTTCCTTTGACGTTGTTAGCATTCTCGAATATGCTGAGTGTGGAATGGGAACGTACAATGAATGGACCGTCTAGCATCGGTGCAAAGAAGCGCGACTCTGTATATAAGAGGTACTTGTTGAGCTTCATGACTTGCTTGCCCTTGTCGAAAGATATCATGACGTCGTCCTTCTGGATCTCGGAAAAACAGCTTCGTTGTGTTAGTATTGTTTGTTCACACATTTCTTGTATATGGTGGTTGCTTACTATTGAAGATCGCTCGACTGCATGGTGAAGACACTGGTACGGGCAGCATTGATATCGACAGCGGACTGCGACGTCAGATCTGGCCGATACCTGCGAGGTGGGTCTAGCAGTGAAAGAGTCTGGAAGTGAAGCGCACTCGGAGTCAGCGGACCCACGCCTCCGACTGGGTCCTCGAAGACGATGGGGCCGGGCTCATTGGAATAAGCACCCAATACCTGATCCAGTGGTGAACTCGAGCCTTCATCTATATCCATGTGGGGGGTGATATAGGTTTGTTCAAAGCCATGGCCGGCGACAGGCAGCTCCGATAGACCACGAAGAGATGAGGTGCGTGGAGGAAGCTGAAGACGATGTCGGTAGCCATCGAAGGGCTTGGCAAACTTTTCCTGGGCGGGCAGATACAGTGTCTCGTTCTCTTTGTCGGAACCGAACGAGAATGTAGGCGCGTAGAAGATTTGTGGTGTCGAAGCAGGAGACGAGACGACGACACTTCGAAGGGCCTTGCGATGCGGATGACTCGACAGATTTGAAGCACCTTGGAAAGCATTGCCGAAGGCACGTTTGCGATCTTGCTGGTTCATATCGACGTACTGTTGGTATTCGCTGCCGTCAAATCGAGTCGCCTGTGGAGGATAAGTAGGATGGAGATTCTCTCCGAAGAGATTTTCGGTATTTATACACCCATAGAAAGTGGAGTGAGTGAGAAGCGAGGTGACCGCGTCGTCCTGAGGGAGAAATTTCGTAGTAATCACCCCGGTTCGGTGGTGAACGTGAGCGTTTGTCGAGTCCTTACACTCTGTTGTCGTGCCAGTGAATTGAGGACAGTGGACGCATCTCCGAGTGAGAAGTGAAAAGCGTAGACCCAGCGCGGTATCGGAACTAGTCAACACTGGTAGCGCGCTTGCCTAGCTGTCGAAAGCGGGACACTGGCTCGGCTTCTTTCACTACCACCGCGAGGGTCACTACCGGTCGTACACTACTTCCAACGCGTTGCCATCTCGTCGAACAGATCCGCTCTGAAGTCCGGTAGCTCATCCATTGACTCGTATACAAGCGCCATGGTTTTGCCCGTACCATGTATGAAAGCTTGCACATGGTCAGCGCAGAGCTTAATCGCTACGCTCTTGAGACTCTCTGCATTGGCCGTTCGCTCAGGTGCGTAGATAGCGCGAATTGCATGCAGTAACTGCTCTTCCTGGCCATCGACAACCAAAACAATTGCCGCGAGGTCCTCGAATTTCTGGAGTGCGAGTGCCTTCAAGCCGGCTATCCCGTATCGCTCTGCAAGCATATATACGTCAACATGAGAGCGCAGAGTGACCTCCTCGGGTACGTCAAGGTCTGAACCAGCTAATTGATCCGTGTAATCCAGTTGGTAGCAGTACTGCATCATGGCGGCGACGGCTGCTGGGTTGTCAGCGCTTAAATCAATGATGCCTTTCGGTGATTTCTGCTTGTGTCAGCGCGATCGAGACTAGTGAATTGACTGAACATACTGGCGACATGACAACTGCGCAGACTTTCGAAAACCACCGCGAATGATAGCACATGATTGACCTATCGACGTGGTAGACATCCTGCTTAGATCGCACCACTAGATCAGAGCACTGCCAATCCGCAGCAGGTGGTGAAGTTGAGGTAGCAACGGCCATAGGTAAAGATGGAGTAGGCGTTACGGGAGATGAAGTGGGCAATGCTTCAGTTTGCTTTGGGGAAACTTCTTGGGGCTTGTTCCTCTGTAAGAAAAGTCGGGCTATTGAGCTGTTCGAAATGGTCTTGCGGTGCTTAGGCCGGCGATTTTGGTTGTTGATTGAAGGAGTGGAAGACGCTGCAGTCGAAACGGAGGCGTTGGAACTCGTCGAAGACGTTCGATGAAGACCGCCAAAGGATGCGTCGGAAGAAGCTACACTGTGTCTTTGCGAAAGCTCATTGCGAACTACGCTGCCTCGCTTGGAGCCATATATAGCAGAAGGATCCAGGCTAGACAAGTAAGCAATTGCGACATTGAACGTCAACACAAACACTCACACATGGCTACTAACGATGACAGGCGTTACAAACATCTCGGTAGTATTTGACAGTTGCAAGGATACCACGTAAAAGCTCGCGCTGTAGATATCTCTTGAGGCTTACTTGGACTGTGCGGTTATTGCGGTAATGTAAGAGGTCGTAGATGAGACCACGTCCCTGCCGCACCGCTGCTGTATATACGCATTTGCAAAACCGCCCTCTGGGCGCTCAGAACTCAAACAACTCATGACCACATGGACAGAAGGGTAAAGCGCAGGAAGAAAATCACCTAGCCTCCGGCACTGATGGGTGCAAAAGAAGCGTTCTGATATGAAACTCGTCAACTGCACCAATGGAAGTTGGGAGATATATTAGCCGTAGCCCCAGATGGACCAGGATGATGAGGCTTATCGATAGTGTTTAATACCGGAGGTGCATACTCGTGGAACGAGAACAGCCGAGCGCTGGAGAACTGTGGGGTAGCGGCATGGCATTCTCCAAAGAAGTCAGCAGACTGTAGCTGAAACGGGTGTTCTTCTTTATTTCGCATGGCACCTAGCCCAAAAAGACAGGTGCGCGGGAGTTTTTCTCATACGGAATTGTCCATCGAACGACGAAGGACCGACCGCGAAGGTTTTGACAAGAACTTTGCTCG